TTGATAAATTTCTAGAGACTTTTAGGTGTCTATGGAGAATTAGCTTCTACATGTGTCTACTGGAGTTTGCAGCCTTAATTATCAGTGTTTTTGCATACATTTTTTCAAATATCGCAATTTTTTGATATACTGGTGCTGTTTGTGTGCTATTCTTTAGATGAAATACATTATCTTTATAACAAAAACAAAATGCACTTCCATGCAAACTATTTATAGAAGATTTTTGCATTTCTTGATATGAAATGGGGTAAACCTCTATATATATATATATATATATATGTTTTACCTGATAGGTAATACTTCTATTTCTGTTTTTGATCACGGTCCAGTTTGAAAATCTGAAAAACACAAGAAGCCTACCCTATTCTTATGACCCATCCACAACTCAACACAGATTAAGGACTAAAGTAATAAAATGAAACTTCTAATTGATGACTTTCCAAAGTTCCACACTCCTCAACTTTCTCTCACAGTTGCATCTTAACTCTAATATTAAAGCCACTCATTACATTTCTACTCTAATCTGATGATCTATACTAGCAGATCAAAATGTCATCTTAAAGTTATCACAAATAGACAAGATTTGTTACAACCCACAAAATAAAATTATATATAATTCAGTTCCATAAGCAACATATGACATAATTTCTAAGCAGAATTACTTTGGAAAAATACCCATTAACTTAATGCACCTTATAAAAACCAGAAGTAGTAAAAATTCATGATGATGAAAAGCTCTTGGTCAAACTTCCAGGTTATATGTTACCATAATGCTGCGTATTAGAACCCATGTTTCAAGTAAGAGAATCCTATGGTTTGCCAGCACTCAAACCATTTAAGTATTTCAGTTATAAGAATTTCAATGAAGATTAATATATCAAGATAACTCAGGAATTGAAACATGTATCTGTTGTCCAAGCTTCAGTGAACTATGTCTACCTTTACCCAAGTTTGAATGCCAGACCCATGTAAAGTTCTAATTATGTTTGAATGTTAAAGAAATGCCTCTTAGTCTAGTAATTTAAGTATAATTTCAGGAATTCAACAAAATAATGGAAACATCTATTAATTTCTACATTTTATTTATTGACATGGAGTTGGTCCTCCAGAAGCAGATAGTACAGAATTAACACAATGTGGAGTTAATGAGAAAAACAGACAATGTTATTTTTTTTCATTAGTAGACCAAAGCTTTTTCTAACCAGTATAGTGATGTTGGTAGTGGAAACCTGCTTCAACGATTTGTTTCAAGAACTGATCATAAAAGTTCAATAGCATTTTAATCTTTTCATTATAGTGGTCAAACTCAGCAATATGAAGTGGCACATTATCATCCTGAAACAGACCATCTCTGTTTGAGAATAAAGTGTCCATATTAGGCTGAACCTTGACTGTAACTCAGGTTTAAGTAATCATTTACTGTCACTTTACTTTTTAGTGAGATCATAGAACTAATACTTTTCAACGAAAAGCTGCCCATAATATCACAGATCCTCCACCATGCTTAACTGATAACATAAGACATCCTGGGTGGTATGTTTCTTGCAGTTTTTATCACACATGAAAACATCCATTTAATGGAAAAATCATAAAAGATTATTCATCTGATCAAACCACATTCTTTCTTTGATTTCTGGTCCAATTTTTATGTTCTTGACCCAATTTTATTCACAGTTTTGCATTTTTGGGTGTTATTAGATGTTTCTGAACAGCAGACCTATCTCAGTAACCTGACTTATACAGCCCCCTTCTAGATGTTTTGATAGACACTGGTTATTGACCAACTTGTTGTAGGCCAATGTTAACTTATGCACATACTGTGATGTTGTAATCCTTTGTTTTCATCTCATCACTCCTGACATTGCTCTTCTGTCACAATCTTAAGTGTTCCTGTCATGAAGGGTCTAGCAAGATATTCACCTACAATCATGCCTCTTTGGAAATATAGTAAACTTTTTAACTTACCATATTTAGAGCCTTTCCCTAAAAATCAACAATATGCAACTCATGTACATACAAATTCAATAAGTAGGGTAATCACCATAAAGCTATATTTCCCCTATTAAACCTCTAAAGACATAAAAACTTGAATTAAAAAGGCAAGATGTTTCCATTATTTTGTCTAAACCCCGAGTACCTACAAACTGATGTTAAGGTGTAGAGGCTCATTAAAAATTAAAAATGAATGTAGCAACTGAGTAAAATATAACTCAGGAACACAATGATAAATTTCACTCCAACTAAATTCATATAGGCAAAATATACACTGAATGGTCTAGTACTTAATATTTCAATTGTACATATTACATAATTTCTAGGGGCAAAATCATCTAGTCCTATTCAGCAATGTCAGTAACTTTAAAAAGAATGAGTGTATGTAAAATGAAAATACTGATTTGAAATAGTTTGATTCAATGACTTAATCTTTCTATAACTGCGTCAGCTCATATATTTCTGAATTCTAATAAACGTGATAAATTGCACTTTAGTGTCTTTTCACAGACTTACCTTGATTATATTTATATACTAAGTAACTTCCAGTTCCAGCACCTGTACTACTACTGAGTACTGTTGAGATTTGTAATGGTGTTGTACTTCACTCGTAAGTTCCAGTCTGTAGCACAAATATATGTAACCTATATAACTTATTAATCTATACTACTATTTAACAACACACAACTTCACAAGCGAGACAGTTATATCAAGCTAAACAGGATTAGGCCCGCTTTAGCAATTGTTTGCACCGTTTCTAGTGGGAATTCTGCCTAGAGCAATAGATAGCCCAGATATCAGACTCTTGATCTTCTATTATAACTTTCTTTCATTTGCGTGATCTATAGCCTGAAGCTTAATGCCGATATACTTCACGAGGATTTTCGATTCTCCTTGCGTCGAGCATAGAGTTATATCTTAAAGTTAAACACTATGTCGCGCATTGTCACGTTCCACTATGCCAGTGCCACTCAAGGATAATTCTTCGCCATTACCAAAACAGGCAAGTGTCAAAGTCCTTTTGTTAGACTGCCTACAGTTAGTTATCTACAAAAAACTGATATGCAAAAGAGGTGTGTCTATTATGGCTATTCAAGTCGGTTGAAGAAGGGGAAGGTCGTCTTTTTTCGCAGTTGGGTATATTTTTTCGTCAATAAAGTCATTATTAAGGAGAAAAAAAATACGAATGTTTTGATAAATTTACTGTATACTGCCACAAGGGGCGGATTACGGATTATAAGGGCCTGGGCCTCTTGCAATCGCGACTGAAGACTTGGGTAAAAAAACAAAAAACAACAACTAAACCCTCAAGATAATGTTACCTCTCTGTTCGTTTGTTAATTTTCCGTAGAAATTCTTAAGCGATACTGGTCCTTTCTTAAGTAAAACTAGTTTATACGTTCTCAATACAACTTTGCAATACACTTATACACACGCTATAATTCTCAACGAACGATTCACGCACTTTATTTACTACCGCGCTTGACTCAATTGTCCGCCTATATCTTTAATCTCTATGTCTGCTATTCAATTCCGATTAATTGTCTGGCACATTTATATACAAGAATAGAGGGCGCCTAGCAAACACTGGATTATTAGTGATGTTCCCTGATCTTTCTAGAACTGGTTACGTGTTACCAGAGTCACGTGACTTCCGCTGTCGTAACAATATGTTTTACTTTTGGATACAATTAGAAAATGATACCCACAGATCTGCATGACTCGCCTACAAATTAATGAACAATATTAGATGTTTCTTCAATAGGAAAAGTGGTGCTCTAACACAGACAAAAGTTGCATTTAAACAACAAAGCATATAAATAAAAAGAAACCAAATGCACATAAGTCCCAATTCATGCACACACACAAACAAACGCACAAATACGCACACACACACATGCTTAGATAACACCAATACTCACAAAGTATTCCCAGCAGTAGTAACATCTCTACTTGGTTCAACAACTGTCTTCCTGCCTCTTTTTGTAACAAAAGCATTTAATTATGATCTGTTTGATGTCAAGCGATCCTAACAAGTAATTTTCTATGCGCAAAAGTGCTATTGTATTTTAGCCTATCTGGTGTTACGACAGCGGAAGTTACGTGACACTGGTAACATGTAATGAGTATCTCAAACTTTCCTGAAGACTCGAGCGTTTCCTTGACAGCATTCTTTTAGTATATATAAGTCCGGTGAGAAGTGACGGCTTAAATAATTGAATTACAGACAGGTAGAGTTAGAGACGGACAATTAAGTCAAGCACAGTAGTACGTAAAATGCGTGAATCGTTTGTTGTGAATTATAGCGTGTGTTTAAATGAATATGACTGTGGAAATTCTGTATATTGCAAAGTTGTACTGAGAAATAATAAACTAGTTTTATTTACGAAAAGACTTGTATCGTTGAAGTTTCTTGGAAAGAATTTCTACGAAAAATTAACAAACGAACACAGATGTAACACTGGGAACATTCTTGCCCAAAGTATTTTTTATCGTTTTCAGCACTGAAAATTGGGTTTTCCCAAGCAATTACTTGACACGAATGTATTGAGAGGTTGTACTAACATCCATTTGGATAATGCTCCATAAGTCTGTCATTATACCTGATTTTAGTTGTTCCAATTGTAGCATGAGGCTTCTTAACTCTTAAGCACATTTGAGGCTTTTCAGAGTCATCAACTGTAATGGACAGGACATCGATTATGATTTTGCATCCCATTTTTAGGCTTGCATTGTGTATGAATGAGCACACCATCTTTATCATCAGAAACCCTACTTTTTCAAGTCCATCGTGTAGGTGCTTCCACAAGTGGATTGAAGCTAAGAAAAACACATAAAGTTTCTGCACAAAGACAAAGAATAAACAAGCTTCAGTACAGCAGTCTACACTGCATTGTCTGAAAAACTGAGTGAATGAGCACGGCAGAGAACACAGTCTGCTAGGGGGTTCTTCTCTTTGATCAAGGTTTGCATGCTAACATACTGCTGCTGATATTGGATGCATTGTCTTAAGACTGCTCATGGAGATTTTGAATTCTTATATCATTCTTTTCAAAGAAATTAATGAGAACTCTAGCAAATTCTGCTTCTATATGATTGCTTACTGGTAAAAATGTGGCAAATCTCTCTACAGGGCCATCATCTAGAACATATCTAAAGATTATTGTCAGTTGATTCATGTGTGATATTTCTGGAGTAGAATGAAAAGACACTGAGAAATACTTGGATGTTTTGATTTCCTGAATAATGGCGATGAGAACTTCTTTCTGTAAGATTTCTGTGAATTCGTCACATACAGCTGAGGATATGTATGAAACATGATCTTTTCCCTCATTTGCATGTTTTGGAATGTGTTCATCAAGAAATGTATCATACTCAGCCAATTGCACCAGTATTCCTAAGTAATTGCGATTACACACTAAATCAACTACTTCGTCACTTCCTCTGAATACTAATCCTCTGTATGATAGAAACGTTGTGACTGAGAGGATATGCTGCAGAACTTGGTGCCAGTGTGTTTCTTTGACTTCATCTTCTCTGTTAAAATATTGCCAATTCACCCACTTTTGGTTTTATGAATAATAAATTGGGTGACAACTTTGATGCAACAAGATGTTTCTTGCCATCTAAAATCTCTTGAAGCATGTTTCCATTCAGAGTAACCAGTTGTTGCTTGCAAAGAAGTTTCATTGCTGTTTAAAACAATTTGCATATAATGCAGAATACTTTCCCCTGTTGCGTCAGCGAGTC